AAAAGACAGTTTTTGAATTTTGTAGAAAATTTAAAAAATAATTATCAACTAATAATTCTAAAATTATTAGTTCTATTAATCCCACCTTTTGGTCCTGAAAATGAAAATCGTATATTTTAATAATTTAGAATTTAGATTAAAAATAATTAATCAATAAACATGCAAAATTCATAATAATGATCTAAAAAAAAGTTAGTAATCAGACTTTCTGCCATTACACCAGGTATTCCAGGACCAAAAGGTGGGATTAATAGAACTAATAATTTTGATTCTGAGGGGAAATTAAAATGCTTTTGTTCAAAAGAAGAAAAAAAAAACGAAAAATGCCAATTAGTAAAAATTGTAAACTTTTGCAATTTACATACTTACTAAAAAATTTTGGTCTCACACTATTTGGTAACTGTGATTAAAAAGTAACTTTGTTTGGGAGTTATTACAAGAAAATAATGGAAATGGTCAAATTTATTAATTACTATTAGAATTTCTGTTGCGTTTTCTAACTGAAAACAATTTTAGCAGACAACGTGTCGAGATTGTACAAATAGAGGATGTTTCTGTATTGGAGAAAAAGGAAGTATGGTAAGTATACGATAGCCTTATTTACTGGAATATTTTCTGAGGAAAGCAAAAAAATTGCTAGCAATCATGAGAAAATTTTTAGGGTATGCCAGGCCCGCAAGGTCCTCCTGGTGTGCAGGGTATTCGGGGATTCCCTGGTCCTGAAGGTCTTCCAGGACCCAAAGGTCAGAAAGGTGCGCAAGGTCCACCGGGACCTCAAGGAATGAAGGGTGATCGAGTAAGCAACTAATTTTTTTAGTGATATAAAACAGTCTTCAAATTTTGTTACAAATCCATTCAATTAATTATGTTCATTTTGTAGGGACTGATTGGAGTCCCTGGTTTCCCAGGAAATGACGGAGCAAATGGACGACCAGGAGAACCAGGTCCACCTGGAGCTCCTGGTTGGGATGGTTGCAATGGAACAGATGGTGCTGCCGGTATTCCAGGTTTGCCTGGACCACCTGGTATGCCTGGTTTTCCTGGTACACCAGGTATTCCAGGACCAAAAGGAGAACCTGCTATCGGTTATGCTGGATTCCCCGGCGAAAAAGTATGTTTTTTTCTCAGATTTTAAACCCGAAAATTTAGCTGCATATCAAACTAGCTCTTTTTTGATTCCTTAAAAGTATTCAATTAATTAACCATAAATACAGAATTTTGTTTGCTATTAAATTTTATATTGCAGGGTGACGCAGGAATGTCAGGTATGCCAGGCCTTCCAGGACCTCCTGGACGTGATGGCTTCCCGGGATTGAAAGGAGATCGCGGTGATATTGGTCCAGCTGTAAGTCTTTTTTTCAAATTTATATATTACTGAATAATCACTTTTATCAAGTTTTGAGTTAATAATTATGAACATAAAGAAAAAATTGTTTGTAAAAAAATGAAAAATATTAACTTTTGTAAAACAAATAATTTTTCATGAAATTTTTGTACCAAATAAATGGTTTAATCATTGCCACAATTTTTTATTATATAGAGTATGATCTAAGTTTTGATATATAAATATTCAGGGACCGCGAGGACCTCCAGGTGAAATTGGTGCACCGGGAAATCCAGGTATCGGCAGTATAGGACCAAAAGGAGAACCCGTATGTTTTTTGAATTAAGTTGGGTGAGAAATCCACTTGCGTAAGATCTTCGGACAATTTTACTTCTCGTACCAAATTTTTAATTTAAAAAGGAAGCCACATGAATAACTAAGTAACTTCTGTGTATTGAAATATTACATTTGTACTTTTAAGATGCATAATTTGCATCGAAACAGGAAGAGTTAATGCCTTTAGGGAGATCTTGGACAGCCAGGGCCACCTGGTCCACCTGGACCGCGGGAATTCACTGGTTCTGGTTCTATCGTAGGGCCACGTGGCACACCAGGAGAAAAAGGTACCAAGGTGCGTTTCTATGAAATTTCTTCACAACAAAAAGGTGTATTTTAGGGCGATCAAGGACCTCGAGGTCCGCCGGGTCTTCCAGGTCCGGTACCATCGTCCGGTGCTAAAGGTACAATCATTGGTCCCGAGGGTTCCCCAGGAATGAAGGGAGAGAAGGTTTGCCTACTACCGTAAATGGACCGTAGATGCTAAGCTATAGCCAGCTTATTGTTGACTTCATTACTCCTTTCACTAATCAGCCGATATAAATTTTTCCCATTTTATAAGGCTTTTTAATCTGAATTCTTATGCAATAAAATAGTCAGGAAATTATTTAGCACAAAATACCTAATTATGCAAAAATTAAAATAAGAACATGAACAAATCGGCTGAGCTTTTGGCATGATATTAGTGCTCTTCTATGATTTATAAGACTTTTATATGATGTACTCGGTTGTAAGCAGTATATAGGATTGATTTTTTATTAAATATAAGTTAATTAGACGTGTACATGACGTGAATTAATACTAGAACTACGAGTACATTAAAATGTTCATCTTAATGCTTACATATTTCAGTAAGTAAACCTTAAGCAACTGAGTTAGGTGACGATAAAAAAAACTGAATAGGACTGCTTTAATAATTCAATGTTTCAAAATTTCTTCCTAAGCTAAAACACAAGTTATATGGAATAAGAGTTTTACAAAAATTTATTGTAGTAAAATTTATAAATCTAAATACTCATTGACAACATTTTGTATCGTTAGCTTATGGCAGTAGACAAAAAGCTGAAAGAGAACATTTTTTACAAAATTTTAAATTTAGTTATTATAAAAATTAAATTCATATAAATATAATTAAATCTTCTTTTAGTGTTATTTAATAATGAGATGCAAAAATTAGGAAATTTAATTTAAAATTTTGTAATTTTTTGTGATTTGATATGATTTCGAATATTTACAAAAACGACTGATCTCATATAAAAGTCTTATCATTTCGATAATTTTTCCAAGTTCTTAACTTAAATTTCTTTCTCTTACTTACTTATTATTTTCGTTAAAGCAAAAATTTAGTTATTTTTATTGATTTACCGATTTATACTTTGCTATCTGCCTGTTAGAGCTTTCATTTTAACTATTAGCTAACCATTTTTTGAACAGCTGAAAAAGTATAAAGTGTAAGTAAACTTTTTTTTTTTTACGTAAATTAATTCTGAAAATTGTGAGCAAAAAATGAACCAAATTTAGTTGATTTCATCCTTGCTCAACAATGAAAAATCAAATAACATTTTAGCTATTTACAGCATAATTCTTTTTAAAGTTATTTTTATTTTTTAGATTTTAATATTTTTAGTAATAATTACAAATGAATATATAAGCTTTGTTTACCTTTTATTTAAGAATTCAGAATCCAATTTTTTTGTAATATTTAAATTTTATAAAAAAATTTTTGACAATTTAATCAATCTTAAAAGTATTAGTTCAATTAAGAGTTACTGCAATTTGATTTTAGGTAACAAAATGGACTTGCATGTATTGAAATAGTTAATTTCTGTTGATAATTTCCTTGGGTACATGATTGTTTGCCTATCTGCCCGTCTAACAAGCTTTTTTTTCCAAAAAAGAATCTTTCCTTTGCAGCCTAACAGATCAAGATTCGGCAGGTTTCATTTACTACAATAATAGAATATTGTAGGGTGAACCAGGAGAACCTGGAGCTCGAGGATATCCAGGAAGTGCAGGTGCCCCTGGACAACCAGGACTTCCGGGAATGAAAGGCGAGAAAGGATTATCTGGACCCGCAGGACCTCGCGTAATTTCCTTCTTCTTTATATTAATCAAATCAGCTTAATAACTGATGTAAATGATAATAACATAATTCATTTTCAAAAATAATTCTTTTTTTTTTCTATTCAAAAAGTTTCTGTTTTATGCTATTGTATTCGATTTTACGCAAAATATTAAGTTAAAGAATAAATCACCAATAATTTTCAAGCAATAAAGTGAAAAATGAAGAATAGCATGATTCGAAAGTGACAAAGCATCATATTTAAGATTAAATTAGTGATTGTTTTTTGTAGGGTAAAGAAGGACGACCAGGATTGCCCGGGCCACCAGGTTTTAAAGGTGACAGGGGTTTAGATGGCTTACCAGGTGTTCCAGGTTTGCGTGGTCAAAAAGGTGAACCAGGATTTCCAGGCCGAGATGGCATGAAAGGAACTCGAGGACCACCAGGTCCACCAGGAGTAAGTTATTTAACTAAATTAATCAAATAAAAATTTTTCTTGACAATTTGGCCAAGTATTCCGAAAAGTTAATCTTATTAGACTTCTCTAAAGTTTTTAAATGTTGAATCACTTTATTAGACTGAGTTAGTTTATAATACCGATTTATAGTTTTACTTTTTATTTAACAAATTAGTATGTTATAGGGTGGAGATTTTTCGAACGGACCACCAGGACCTCCCGGTCTGCCAGGTCGTGAAGGACAACCTGGTCCACCAGGAACTGATGGTTATCCTGGACCACCTGGATTGCCGGGTCCTCAAGGATTACCAGGTGGACCTGGACTTCCAGGATTGCCTGGTCTAGAAGGTTTACCAGGACTTAAAGGATCGAAAGGTAAATTATAACTTTGAAACAGAATTGATTCTCCATTTTTTTAAATTTGCACTTTCATGTCTTCATATTGTAGGTGACAGTGGTATACCCGGTGCTCCTGGTATGCCAGGACCCCCAGGTTTGCCTGGACCAAGAGGACCAAAAGGAGAACCAGGATCACGTGGTGCAGATGGCAAAAGTATTCCTGGTTTACCAGGGAAAGATGGAAGACCTGGATTAGATGGTTTGCCAGGACGGAAAGGAGAAATGGGATTGCCCGGTGTACGAGGTATTCTTCTTTTCAATTTTGTTTATAGCTATGATTTAACAAAGTAAGTTATAAATTTGGGATGATTTAGGTCCACCCGGTGATTCACTCAATGGACTTCCTGGCGCACCAGGACCACGAGGGCCACCAGGGCCTAAAGGCTACGATGGACGTGATGGTGCTCCAGGCTTACCTGGCTTGCCTGGACAAAAAGGCGAACGTGGTGGATCATGTTCTACTTGTGTTCCTGGAATGAAAGGAGAAAAAGGCAATTTTGATTTTATCGATTCTATATAAATTTTTATGATTTGTTTTAAATATACCGTAATGAAATTATAACTAGAAAAATCAAAACCTCTATTAATTTGACTTTTAATAATGAAAGATGAAATTTGATATTTGAAAATGCGAATAGGAAAAATGTAATATACAAAATCTAGTACGACTAGATCTTAAAACAGTTACAGATTTTCCACTGAATCTTTTAGGTGCTGCTGGTTATCCAGGATTACCAGGGCCTCAAGGTGAGCGAGGGTTACCTGGTATACCGGGTTCACAGGGTTCTCCAGGTGATGATGGCATGCCGGGTGCCCCGGGTAGACCTGGTCCACCAGGACCACCAGGAAAGGATGGTATACCAGGTTTACCAGGGCAAAAAGGTGAACCAACACAAATGGTACTTCGACCAGGACCACCAGGATTTCCAGGTCAAAAAGGCGAAATTGGCTTTCCTGGTCTACCCGGACAAGATGGCATACCAGGAAAAATTGGTCCCGCTGGGGTACCAGGATTACCTGGAATACCAGGACCAAAGGTATCTATCTATATCTTTATCTTAAGTTCATTTCTCAAATTTTTTCTCAACAACAACAGAATACCGAGATGAATAACATTATTTTAGGGTGAACCAGGTCTACCAGGATTAACAGGGAAACCCGGAAAAAATGGACTTCCAGGATTACCGGGTATGAAAGGTGCTGCCGGTTATGGAGCTCCAGGATTACCAGGACTTCCAGGTCAAAAGGGTGACGCTGGTCTTCCGGGCTTGCCAGGCGCTCAGGGCCCTATTGGACCAATGGGACCACCTGTTGCTGAAAGTCAATTAAAACCAGGTCCTCCTGGAAAAGATGGATTACCAGGATTACCAGGTCCAAAAGGTGATGCAGGTTACCCAGGTGCACCTGGTAAAGATGGAATCGCTGGTCTCCCAGGTTTGCCAGGTCTTAAAGGTAATCAAGGCTTGCCAGGGCCACCTGGTATTGTCGGTTTACCTGGATTGCCTGGCCCAAAAGGAAACGCAGGTAACCAAATTTTTTTAATCTGAAAAATCCTATAAACTCATTAATTTTTTTAACTGGAGTATTAATTTCTACTGTATTGTAGGAAAACCCGGCTTGCCTGGTTTGTCAGGTCAGAAAGGTGAGGCGGGATACCCAGGACCTTCAGGTTTACCAGGACCCAAGGGTGAACCAGGATTATCAATGACAGGGCCACCAGGTCCACCTGGATTCCCAGGACTGAAAGGAAACGATGGTTTACCTGGAGCGCCAGGATTACCAGGTCTTGAAGGTCCACGAGGCTTACCAGGTATAGCAGGCTTAAAAGGAGATGCTGGTCTTCCAGGTGCTCCTGGAGTAGCAGGTTTACCTGGACAAAAAGGAGACGTTGGATTACCAGGACTTCCAGGCATGTTCATACTTTGACACTATTGTGAATTAAAAACAAACAATCTACAAATTTGAAAATAATAATAAATGGGAGATTTTAGGAGTACAAGGTCCCCAGGGACCACCTGGTATAGCAGGAATACCAGGATTACCTGGACAAAAAGGTGAAGATGGATTGCCAGGTTTGCCAGGTGTTGCTGGACTTAAAGGTGATGCAGGACTTCCAGGAGCTCCAGGTCTTCCAGGAGCCGTAGGACAGCCAGGATTTCCCGGTCAGAAAGGACAAGCAGGACTACCAGGACTACCAGGCGCAAAAGGCAAATATTATAACTCTTAACATATCTAATTTAATAATTGATTGAATATTTTTTTGAATGGATTTTAAATTCTATTTGCTGATTTGTTGAAAACATTTTAGGTGATGCTGGATTGCCTGGTTTACCCGGAACACCAGGAGCAAAAGGAGATCGAGGGTTAGCTGGTTTGCCAGGTTTACCAGGAATGAAAGGTTTAGCAGGCTTCCCTGGTGCGCCTGGAAAAGATGGTTTACCAGGTTTACCAGGACCAAAAGGTGATCGTGGTTTTAATGGATTACCAGGTGAGAAAGGTGAACCAGGAGCCGCTGCTCGAGATGGTGCAAAAGGAGATGCTGGTTTACCTGGTGCTCCTGGTTTACGAGGACCTCAAGGTATTCGACTGTTTTCATTTTTGAATCTTGCATTTTGGGCAACATCATTAGAATTTCCTCAGATAAAAAACTGATTTGCAAAATATCAAGCATACTTAATAGACAAATAACTTGCTTTTTTATAGGACCACCTGGACTACCAGGATTGCCAGGAATGAAAGGTGATGCAGGACAACCAGGGTATGGTGCTCCGGGACTGCCAGGAGAAAAGGGTATTCCTGGTCTTCCAGGAAAACAAGGACGACCGGGAGCTCCCGGACAAAAAGGACTCGATGGTGCGCCTGGATTTCCAGGACTTAAAGGAGATGCCGTAAGTTATGCAGTTTGGTGAAGTCAACTGGTGCTTCGTGGGAAAAAATAAAATTTGTCTAATGTTGAATTTTCAGGGACTCCCCGGATTACCAGGACTTCCAGGGAAAGATGGACTTCCAGGGTTGCCAGGACAGAAGGGTGAGGCAGGTCTTCCAGGTCAAGCTGGAATTCCTGGTGCACCTGGTCAGGGGGGTAAAATGGGTGTGCCTGGTGTTCGAGGTGACAAAGGAATTCCTGGCATACCTGGAATACCTGGTGAACGCGGTTTACCTGGTTTAGCAGGGCAAAAAGGCGAAGCCGGATTACCAGGACTACCAGGACTAGTTGGCCCACCTGGACTGAAGGGTAATGCTGGGGTACCCGGCTTCCCAGGAACAAAAGGATTACCAGGATTCCCCGGTAAAGATGGTTTGCCAGGCTTTCCTGGAGTCAAAGGAGATGCCGGAGCTCCAGGATTACCTGGAAGAGATGGACTTCCTGGAATACCAGGCCAGAAGGGTGAACCTGGTTTAGCTGGTTTACCTGGTGCACCTGGCAAGTTTTTTTGCAATTCATTATTTGCTTATTGAAAATCTGAATACTCAATCTTTTTTGTTGGCATATTTACTCATTTATTCAATAGAACCAACATTGAAAATTTTAAATCATAATTTTTAATGTTTAAACTCAGGTGTATCAATTGCTGGACCAAAAGGCAGTGCTGGATTACCAGGACTACCTGGTAAAGATGGACTTCCTGGATTACCAGGTCAAAAAGGTGAACAAGGACTGGCAGGATATCCTGGAGCGCCAGGTATGAAGGGAGATAGTGGTCTGCCTGGAATTCCAGGAGCTAAAGGAGAACCAGGACTTCTTGGGTTACCAGGTTTGCGTGGAAAAGATGGGCTCCCTGGTCCACCAGGTATTGCTGGTCTGCCAGGTTTGCCTGGTGCTAAAGGTGATGCTGGCTTAGCAGGAGCCCCAGGACTACCTGGTATTGCAGGACTACCAGGACTAAAAGGTTTATTTAGCGTTTTGAACCAGGCTGACTCTTAACAACTTATCAATAGATATTTCGAAATATGTATATATACTCAGAATTCGAAAATAAATATGGATTTGATATTCATTTCTAATATGCTAATGAAAGAAAAAAGTGATTGCGAAGTTTCTGTAATTTGATCATTTTGCAGGTGAGCCAGGATTACCCGGATTTCCAGGACAAAAAGGAGAAGCAGGCATACCAGGACAGCCAGGTTTGCCAGGAATACCAGGTCTCAAAGGTGATTCTGGTCATCCTGGAGCCCCAGGTAAAGATGGAACACCAGGTCCAGTTGGTGAACCAGGACCAATAGGTCCTCCAGGTGCTGAACCACTAACATTACGTGGTGAAAAAGGTGATCAAGGGCCAATGGGCGTACCAGGTATTCGTGGTGAAAAGGGACTTCCAGGTCTTGATGGATTACCCGGACCAAGTGGTTAGTAAAGTTTACTTTGTAAGCAAAAATATTTAAAAATTTGTCTTAAAATTAAACATTCAAAATTTGTTTTACCAACGGTTTGTTCAAATAATATTTAATAATTGATTCTAGGGCCACCAGGACCACCAGGATTAAAAGGTGCAGATGGTTTTCCCGGACAGCCTGGTTTGCCAGGTGAAAAAGGTGCACCTGGTTTGCCTGGATTTCCAGGTGTTGAAGGTACGCCAGGACCACCAGGACTTCCTGGTCCAAGTGGAGCACCTGGTGCACCAGGACCAGCATATAGAGATGGATTTTTACTTGTTAAACACAGCCAAACTACCGAAGTACCACAGTGTCCACCAGGCCAACAGAAATTATGGGATGGCTATTCATTGCTTTATATTGAAGGCAATGAAAAATCACACAATCAAGATCTTGGTAATAATTTTACTTTAACCTTTAAGGTCTATTATTATAAATTGTAAAATTTTTTATTCTTTTTACAAATTTTGAATGAATTACTGATTCCAACAGGAAACAAATCATGAATGAGCATATTCTACAAACTGTTAATCCGTTTGAAGTTTAGTATTGAAATTACAGAGAATAAATAAACTTAAGGTCATGCTGGATCATGTTTGACAAGATTTTCAACAATGCCATTTTTGTTCTGTGATTTTAACAACGTTTGTAATTATGCATCTCGTAATGACAAATCATATTGGCTTTCAACAACTGCCCCCATACCGATGATGCCAGTTAATGAACAAGGCATTGAGCCATATATTTCCAGGTTCAATATTTAAATTTCCCAGCTGTTTTTTTTTCGATGATAGTTATAATTACAAAATAATCGTAATAACTATTAAAAGATTTTACTTATTTTTTTAAGTGTAATTATAACTATGAAAGAGAAAGCAGTCTAGAACCAGCATCAAATATTAATAAGCTTATATATATAAAATATTCTTCACAATTTGTTACCATTCTTAATCTGCTAAACTTTTGAAATTTTTTTTCCATTTTAATTTTTTCCTTTAAATTAATTTTTAATAAATTTCTTATAAAATATTAATAATTTGCTGATTATTTTTTTCAAAAAAGTCTCAAATAATATGATGATAATATTCAGGTGCGCTGTATGTGAAGCACCTGCAAATGTAATTGCGGTTCATTCGCAAACAATCCAAATACCAAATTGTCCAAATGGATGGAATTCCCTTTGGATTGGCTATTCATTTGCTATGCATACAGGTGCTGGTGCTGAAGGTGGTGGGCAATCTTTAAGGTAATATTTTTAACTTATTTAACTTGTTAAAATTTTGACTGATTAATTTGTATTTCAGATATAGTATTTATCTTAGTGTAAGATTTGAAGTTTATAAATAATTGAAAAATTGTATCATAG